GATCCTTTCACCTTTCGTGGCCTAGGCTCTCACACGTCGCAGCCCATGCAGAAAAAAAGGTTCCCTTGCGCTATATTACTGCGACGTCTACAACTCATGTGCATGTTCCGTGGGTTGTTGGGTTCCCGGCTTGACCTTGTTGCAAGAGAATGTTAAAATCGAGGTAACAAGCATAGCCTCAACTTCAAAGATATAATATCATTTTGGATACAAACAATATGTGATACTTGACACACCTGAAACTAACACGTCAGCTTTTCATATTGAACAATTCTTTTGCAAGAAACCTAGCACCATTTACAAAAAATCGCCTTCTCGCTGATTCTCGGTGTACGCTTGCAACCTGTCTCTGTGTGAAGGAGCAGAAAGACTTCCGAGAAGCTGCCCTCGAGGCTAGCGGCTAGTACGGCCTGGCTTTTTCATGCTTTTTCTGGGGCGCTCAAGTTGAGTACGCGGTGCAATTATTCGCAGGCAGCGGCGCGAGACCATGCGCGGATCTTGCAGGCTGGGGCAGAGGGCAGCGCGTCAGTAGGCCTGCGCTGTTTGTCGTCCCTCTGGCAGGAGCAGCGCCAGCATTTCGAGGGTCTGCTTGAGGACGCCGGAGAAGGTTCTTGCAACTGGCGGCGCGGTGCGTTGACTCATGGCAGGCGGAGCGTCGCTGCACAGAGTTGGAGCACGGCCGTCGTCACCAGGTCGAGGCGCGACTTCCGGGAGCCATGAGAGGGAGCGTGACGACGTGTGACTGCGATGCAGGAGAAACTTGCCACGGCCTTGGAGGCGAAAGCAGAGGTGGGAGGTCGTGGAGTCAAGGAGTGGTGTAGGGAGTTTTCGCCTGTGAAGGTGCTCGAGGCCAATGATAAGACATTGGAGGAAGTGCAGGTCCGCAGCAGCCCGGAGTCTCGATCTGAGTCTTCCTGCAAGTTCAATGGCCGAGCTGCCTTTGAGAGGCTTTGCATCTGGATCAGCTCAGCTTGGAGCGCAAACAGCGGCTGCAAGCCGAGGTGCGACAGACAGAGTTCAGAGCGACCGGCGAGAGACGTTCGGAGTTTCGGTGTGTGCAGAAGTCGTTTTAGGATATGTTAGGCTGCAAGTCTCTGCACACCCTCCCGGCGGCAGGCCGAAGTGCGGCAGTTGCAGGCTGAGCTAGAGAAGGCTCGGGACTCGGGCAGTGGATGTTGTGCCCCATGATTTTTTGTTAGAGCTCTTGCCAGTTTTCCGTGGTCTCCATCTCGGACTCGGAGCTGGCCACAGAGGCAGAGACAGCCGCCGCCGCCGACTCTGCCTTTGTGTAGTCGCGGAGCCTTCCTCTTCCGTGGCCTCCTCCTAGGCGAGCAGCTCCACACCGCCCGCGCCGCCGCACACTGCCGAGGTGCAGCCTTCCTTCCGCGTCAGCGGCCAAACATCAAGAGCAGGAGTAGTGGGTTGTAGTGGGTGGCAGCCGCCTGCGGTGTCTATACTCGCATTCCACCACGGCCTCCTCCCAGGCAAGTAGCTCTACGCGGCAGATCGCAGAGATGCCGCCGGCCACTGCGCAGAC